CCGCCCCCCACCCCCCACCCGGAAGCGTGAAGCCGTCCAAGAGCAAATTCACGCGTTCCGGGGCCCTGAAAAGGCCGGGGCAGTTCTTCGGGTTTTTAAAAACCTCCCTTTGCCGCCTCACACACATTCCCGCCTATAAGGTGAGGGGCGGGCCCGGGACCGGGGAGGCCCGCCCTGGGGTTTGTGTGGTTTTGAGCGGTGCCTCGTCCCTAGGGGAGGGGGGACAAAAACGGGGAGCAGGTGCTGAACGCCATCGAGGCCTACACGGAGCCCCGGCCCGAGATCACGTCGCGGGCCATCAATTTGCACGTGGCTCACTGTCCCCAGAGCGCTGCAACCAGCTCCTGGGGGCCCTAAAGGTCAGCCCCCCCCCCCCCAGGAGCAGCTGGGGGCACGTGGCTCACTGTCCCCACTTCCCATCCCTGGGGCCCTCGGCCTCCTGCCCAGCCCCCCCGGGAGCGGCTGGGGTGCACGTGGCTCACTGTGTCCCCCACTTCCCATCCCGGGGCACAGACGGCACTGCCTGTTGAACCCCAGCCCCACCTCGCAGTGCCGCACTGGGTCGTGCCCAGGCCCGGCCTAGTTTGAGCAGGATCAGGCAGGTGCTGCCCCAGGGGCCCTGGTCCAGGCCCAGGCAGAGCCTGCCCAGCACCTGCCAGCCTGGCCCTTGCCCCGTCTGCCTGCAGCTGGTCATCACAGCCCTCAAGTGCCACAAGTATGACAAGAACATCCAGGTGACAGGCAGCGCCGCCCTCTTCTACCTGACCAACTCCGAGTACCGCGCCGAGCAGAGCGTCCGGCTGCGCCGGCAGGTCATCCAGGTGGTGCTGAATGGCATGGAGTCCTACCAGGAGGTGACGGTGAGCCCCTGCCCGCGCCGGCCCAGCCGCCCCAACCCTGCGCCGCTCCTTCCCGGCTCCCCTGGCCCGGGCAGCGCTCCCGGAGCCCAGCCCCGCCGCAGCCCCCACCCGCTCTGCTCTGCTCCACCTGGAAGCCCGGGCACCCTGCCTCCTGCCTCGGGGCCTCCGTGGTGCTGTCTCCTCCGCCCTCCTGCCCCATGGTTTTGTTTTTTTCCTAATAGCTGCTTTTATTACAAAGGCAATTAGAAATTTTAGTGTAGAACATTTATAATTACCGATACAAAGAAAATAATAAAAGTCGCCCATAATCCCAACACCCACCGAGAGCCACCACTAACATTGAATTTGGATTTTCGTTGTTCTGGATTTTAGTCTGTGAACACTTACAAGGGTACTTCAAAAAGTTCATGGAAAATGGAATGAAAAGATAAGTATATTTTGATGACATGTTGAAATCTATGCATAGTTTTTTTTTTAAGATTTATTTATTTAGTCAGAGTTATAGAGAGAGAGGAAGAGGCAGAGAAACAGAAATCTTCCATGTACAGGTTCACTCCCCAGGTGGCCTCGACAGCCAGGACCAGGCCAGGCCAGCGCCAGGGGCTTCATCTGGGTCTCCCGCATGGGCGCGGGGGCCCAAGCACTCGGCCGTCTTCCGCTGTTTCCCCGAGAACAATAGGAGGTAGCTGGGGGGAGCAGACTTGAGGCAGCGCTCCAGTCCGGGAGGCTGGCGTTGAAGACAGCAGCCCCAGAAACATATTTCCCTAGTAAAAGCTTTGTGATAATGTTTTTCTGATTACAAGAGTATGTCAAATCGTTTTAAAGATTTTTGTGTTTATTTGGAAAGCAGAGTTATGGGGGGAGAGACAGAGAACTCCATGTGGTTCGCTCCCCACATGGCCCCAACAGCCAGGGCTGGGCCAGGCTGAAGCCAGGAGCCTGGAGCTCCATCCGCGTCTCCGACGTGGGCGCCAGGGAGCAGTCCTCCGCTGCTTCCCCAGGCGCATGAACCAGGGGCTGGATGGAAAATGGAGCGGCCGAAGCGCAAACTGTCGCTCCTAGGAGACGGCGGCAGTGAGGGCGGCTTAGCCGGCTGTGCCCCGACGCCGGCCCTCGACGCCTAATGTTTAAGAAACAGAGATCTTCCTGGTAGTGTGAGAATGGATTCAGTAGAAGGTGACAGCTGTTCACAGACTCCGGATCCAGCCAGTTTTAATGTTTCAGTCTCATAATCGCTGACCCCAGCATCCCCATCCAGGGAGAGGCGCGGAAGCAGCCCACGCGTGTGAGCCTCAGGTCAGCTAGGGGACCTGCCCCGTGGCTGACCGGTTAGGGTGCTCTTCGTCTTCCAGTGCTTTGCTGCCTCTACTTACCTGCTGACCCTCAGCTGTATCCTAGAAGCAGAATCAGGGCCATGGGTATGTGGGTTCCCGCAGAAGGGCCCCGGTGGGGACGCAGGCTCTGCGGGGTGGGAAGCCCCTTCCCCTGCCTGTGAACTGGAACTTGAGTGGTCATCGTCTCTACACTGAGATGGAGTTTGCGGTCAGGCCGAACAGATGTCTTTTTTTTTTTTAAGTGCTAGTTGGAGACCCTAAAGTGAATTAGTAAGTCCTAAGAGAAATGGAAATTAAAAGAAGAGGAGATTACACTTTGTCCTAAGAGTGGGTGCTACCCAGCGTGGGGAGAGTTTGAGAGAGTGTTGAAACACTCTGCCAGCGGGCCATCTTCCGCTGCTTTCCCAGGCCGTCCATAACAGGGAGCTGGATCGGAAGAGGAGCAGCCGGATGAGAACCGGCGCCGTATGGGATGCCGGCACCACAGGCAGAGGATTAACCTGCTGCGCCGTGGCGCCAGCCCCCACGTAGCTCCTTAACCTCTGCACCAAACCCTGCCCTGTGTTCACCTGCGACCTCGGTGTTCCACAGACGTAGATGTCCCCGGAGGGAAAAGAGGAAACACATCCATCCTTGTTTGATGAAGGACTCCGAGGAAACCCCAGTGTCTCAGGAACTGGGCTCTGAACAGCAGCGTGCGGTTCCCTCTGCACAGTGGGGTTCATGGGAGACTGCGTGTGAGGGCAGGGAGGTGCCCTGCATGCCGGAGCTCTGCCCTGCGGCCTTCCTTTGTGCCCCCCCTCCCCCTGCCCCAGCCCCGTGTCTGTGTCTGTGCCCCTCCCCTGCCCCAGCCCCGTGTCTGTGCCCCCTCCTCTCTGCCCCAGCCCCGTGTCTGTGTCTGTGCCCCCTCCCCTGCCCCAGCCCCGTGTCTGTGCCCACATCCACTCTGCACCTGCCCCGTATCTACATCTGTGACCCCTCCCTCTGCCCCTGCCCCTGTGTCCTGCATCTGTGCCCCCCTCCCCCCTGCCCCAGCCCCGTGTGTGCATCTGTGCCCCCCTCCCCCTGCCCAGCCCCATGTCTGTGCCCCCTCCTCTCGCCCCACCCCCGTGTCTGTGCCCCCCTCCCCCTGCACCAGCCCGTGTCTGTGCCCCTCCCTCTGCCCCACCCCGTGTCTGTGCTCCCCTCCCCCTGCACAGCCCGTGTCTGTGCCCCTCCTCTCTGCCCACCCCCGTGTCTGTGCTCCCCCTCCCCCTGCACAGCCTGTGTCTGTGCCCCTCCTCTCTGCCCCAGTCCCGAGTCTATTTCTGTGCCCCCTCCCCCTGCCCCAGCCCCATGTCTGTGCCCCCCCGGCACCAGCCCGTGTCTGTGCCCCCCCCCCCTGCACCAGCCCCGTGTGTGCATTTGCATGGTGGAGAAATCTAGCAGATGCCTACTGAACACTGACTGTGGGCACTTCTCGGGTATTTCTTCTCAGGATTTGAGCTTTTTACAGGAAGTATTGCTTTTATAACTTGGACTTTTTCTCAGATGACAAACTAAATGCAAACTAAGGACGTATATTGGGGGATGGTATTGGTTTTTAAAGATTTATTTTTTTATTTGAAAGAGTGACAGAGAGGTTTTTATTTTTTTTATTTGAAAGTTACAGAGAGGTCTTCCATCCACTGTTTCACCCCCCAGATTGCCGCAACAGCCGGAAATGCACTGACCCGAAGCCAGGAGCCGGGAGCTTCCTCAGGGTCTCCCACGTGGGTGCAGGGGCCCGAGCACTTGGGCCATCTTCTGCTGCCTTCCCGGGCCACAGCAGAGAGCTGGATCTGAAGAGGAGCAGCCGGGACTAGAACCAGCGCCCATACGGGATGTTGGCGCTTCAGGCCAGGGCTTTAACCTGCTGCGCCACAGTGCCGGCCCCGGATGGTATCTTTTAAACTACACAATTAATGAAGTCTGCTAAACTTGCAATACCTCACGAGAAGGGAAGGGCGAGGGGGCGGTGTTGGGGCACAGCAGGTCAAGCTGCCTCCTGCGATGCCGGCGTCCCAGGTTGGAGCACAGATCTGAGTCCTGGCCGCTCTGCTTCTGAATCAGCTCCCTGCTGACGCACCTGGGGAAGCACCGTCAGATGACCCGAGTGCTTGGGCCCGTGGCACCCATGTGGGATGGATTCCTGGTTCCTGTCTTTGGCCTGGCCCATCCCCAGTCTTTGTGGTCATTTAGGGAGTGGGACAGCAGATGGAAGATCTCTTTTAAAAAAAAAAAATACCTAGGGGGCCAGCATTGTGGTGCAGTGGATTAAGCCATGGGCTGCAACACAGGTATCCAGTATGAGCACCAGTTGGAGTCCTGCTGCTCCACTTCTGATCCATCTCCCTGCTAATGCGCCTGGGAAAGCAGCAGCAGATGGCCCGAGTCCTTGGGCTCCTGCACCCACGTGAGAGTGCTGGGGGGAGTTCCTGGCTCCTGGCTTTGGCCTGGCCCAGTGCGGCCCATCATTGCAGCCATTTGGGAAGTGAACCAGAGGATGGAAAACCGATCTCCCTCCCTCTCTCTCTCTCTGCCTTTCAAATAAAAGACAAATAGGACTTTATCTTCTAAAAATTACATTACAAAGGAAGAAGGAAGGAAATAGAATGACAAGGAAAATGTTCAGAGAACACCACCAAGATAATAATGCGCAGACAGTGCAGAGAGAAACAGGAAGTGGAGCAGCTGGAGCTGGTACCGTGCTGGTGGGAGAGGGGCTTGTCCCGCCGTGTGGAGAGCAGTCCGGTGGTACCTAGCAGAGCAGAAGATGTGGGTCCTGGGACGCAGAAGTCCCACGAGGCACGTGTGCCCTGGAGAAGCCCACAGCCATGGGCCCCAGGATGCACGCTCACCGTAGCCAGCCGTGGACGTCACGGGCGCAGTTGAGGGACGTAGCGCAGGGGGTGATCGCGCGAGCCCGTGCTGAGGAAGGCAGCAGTGCTGCAGGACTGTCCCCTGGAGAAGCCAGGACACGGCTGCTGGGTGCTGGGTGCTGGGTGCTGGCAGGCCGTGCGCACGCGGGGTTCACTGTAGGGTTATGGAAAAACCATACGTTTGCCATTTCTGCATCCTTCCGTGTGAATATATCATTTACAAATGAAAAGCCCTGGGCCGGCGCCACGGCTCACTAGGCTAATCCTCCGCCTGAGGCGCCGGCACACCGGGTTCTAGTCCCGGTCGGGGCTCCAGATTCTGTCCCGGTTGCCCCTCTTCCAGTCCAGCTCTCTGCTGTGGCCAGGGAGTGCAGTGGAGGATGGCCCAAGTGCTTGGGCCCTGCACCCCATGGGAATCCAGGAGGAGGCACCTGGCTCCTGGCTTCGGATCAGCCATAGCGGCCACTTGGGGTTGAACCAACGGAAGGAAGATCTTTCTCTCTGTCTCTCTCTCACTGTCCACTCTGCCTGTCCAAAAAAAAAAAAAAAAGAAAAAGAAAGAAAGCCCTGGACCCGCCTCTTCCAAAAAGCCTCCGGGAGCACCCCTCTGGCTGCCCCGGGCCCGGGGCTCTGCTCCGAGCCCGGCGTGACCGCGCTGCGCCCCTCTCCCGCGTGGCCCAGGTGCAGAGGAACTGCTGCCTCACCTTGTGCAACTTCAGCATCCCCGAGGAGCTGGAGTTCCAGTACCGCCGCGTCAACGAGCTGCTGCTCGGCATCCTCAGCCCCAGCCGCCAGGACGAGTCCATCCAGCGCATCGCCGTGCACCTGTGCAACGCCCTGGTGTGCCAGGTGGACAACGACCACAAGGAGGCCGTGGGCAAGATGGGCTTCGTGGTGGTGCGTCCGCAACCCCCCTCCCCCCCCCCCCCCGCCAGCGTTAAGAAGGCCTGGGCTGGACCCGAAGGAGACTTCCCCGGCCCCCTAAATCCTCCCGCCTGGGGCGCCCTGTCACCCTGCCAGTCCCCTCGACCGGTCCCTTAGGTCCCACTGACAGGTCACTGCTGCCCCCTCAGACCAGACGCGCCCCACACCGCGAGCCCCCAGCCTGTCCGCACGCTGCCCTCCCCCGCCCCCGCCCTGGGCATGAGCCGCGGAGGGAGAGCGCCGGCTCCTCCTCGCTCTGGTTTTGCTAAAGCGGCGAAGGAAGCACAGTGCTCTGGGTGATTTTACTTCAGAGGCAGAGAGGGCTCATCCTCTGGTTCGCTCCCCAGGTGCCCCCGACAGCCAGAGCTGGGCCAGGCCAAAGCCAGGAGCCTGGAGCTCCATCCAGGTCTCCCAGGCGCTTGGGCCATCCCCTGCTGCCGGCCGGGGTCACGTCACAGGAAGCTGGAATTGGGAGTGCAGCTGGGGCGGGAACCCAGGCTCTCGGACGTGGGTTGTGGGTGTCTCACGTGGCGTCTTAGCCACTGCCCCAAGCGCTGGCCCCACTCCTCTCCTGTGTCTCTGGGAAGTCCCAGCATGCAGCAGGAGAGGCTGTGCCCAGAGGGCGAGAAGCAGACCCCGGCCTCCCCTCCCCGCCCGGCCCGGGCGCAGCGGCGGGCGAGCCCGGCCCTCTGGTGAGAGCTGCTCTCTGCCCACAGACCATGCTGAAGCTGATCCAGAAAAAGCTGCTGGACAAGATCGTAAGTCGAGCGTCTGTCCGCGGACCGCGCGGCCCGTCCCCCACCCCGCCCCCGCCGCGGTGTGGAGCCCGGCTGAGCCCTGCCCCGCCCTCGCCCGCAGTGTGACCAGGTGATGGAGTTCTCCTGGAGTGCCCTGTGGAACATCACGGACGAGACGCCCGACAACTGTGAGATGTTCCTCAACTTCAACGGCATGCGGCTCTTCCTCGACTGCTTGAAGGTGGCACTGAGCCCCAGCCGCGCCGCTCCTGCCCCGGGCGCCCCAGCCAGGGCCGGCACAGGCTCTCCCAGCGGGACTCGCGCCAGCACGTGCTTCCGGCCCGGTGTCCCGGCAGGGCCCTCTTGGGACCCCAGTGCTGGGGAAGAGCTGACCCCAGCTCAGCCCGCGGTCCCCAGTCCAGCCACGTCTGGCTGGCACCCCCTGCCGGGTCAGCTGCACAGACTTCTGCCCAGTAGGACAGGCTGTTGCTCAAATTCCCAAGATGATCCCTTTGCTACATACCTCAGTCCCTAGAGCACGTGTGTCCCTGAGGTCCAGTCCCTCAGCAGCCTTCCTCCTTGTGGCAAGGAACCTCCTGCCACCTCCTGCCCCCCTGCCCCCCTCCTGCCCCCCCGCCCCCTCCTGCCCCTCCTGCCCCCCCTGCTCCCCCCCTTCCTCCTCCTTTTTCTTCTTCATCTCTTTATTTGTTTAAAAGAGTTACAGAGAAGGAGAGGCAGAGAGCAAGATAGAGAGAGAGAGGGATCCTCCATCCGCTGGTTCACTCCCCAAAGAGCTTCAACAGCCAGAGCTGGGCCAGGCCAAAGCCAGGAGCCAGGAGCTTCATGCAGGTCTCCCACGCGGGTGCAGGGGCCCGAGCACTTGGGCGTCCTCCACTGCTTTCCCAGGCGCATCAGCAGGGAGCTGGGTCGGAAGTGGAGCAGCCGGGAAATGAACTGTGCCCATGTGGGATCATGGGTGTTATCTTTGCAGGCGGCAGCGTTACCCACCGCGCCTCCCCCAACCCCCACCTTCTGATCCCTGCCCGTGTGCACCCAGCATCGCCTGGGCACTGGGAGGTCGTGGGCAGCAGGTCCTGTTTCCGCCTTTCCGGCTGGAACAGCCAGACCGACGCCCAGAGCTCTCAGCTGCACCACCAGACCCTGCACAAGGGCCGCTGCTGTGGCCCCAATGGCTGGCGTTTTTCCAGGAATTCCCAGAGAAGCAGGAGCTGCATCGGAACATGCTGGGGCTGCTGGGGAACGTGGCAGAGGTGAAGGAGCTGCGGCCGCAGCTGATGACGTCCCAGTTCATCAGTGTCTTCAGGTTGGCACGTCTCCCTGCGCCCGGCCTGTCCTCTGTGACGGGGCTCCTCTCTCAACCCTGCGTGCATGGTCCTCCCGGAAGCCTGTCCTAGGGGCCCCGAGTCCCCTGTGGCAGTCGTCCGGTTGTCAGCAGCGAGGGGCCTCTGGCTTGTCCGACGGGGGCCGAGGCAGTGGGCTGCATTCTCCACCCCACCCCCCCCCCCACAGCAACCTGCTGGAGAGCAAGGCTGATGGCATCGAGGTCTCCTACAATGCCTGCGGCGTCCTCTCCCACATCATGTTCGACGGGCCCGAGGCCTGGGGCGTCTGTGAACCCCGGCGGGCGGAGGTGGAGGAGCGCATGTGGGCAGCCATCCAGAGCTGGGACATAAACTCACGGAGGAACATCAACTACAGGTGCGCGGGCGGGCGGGCGCGTGCAGGGGCGCGCCCCTCGAGGCCTCTGCTGGGTTTCCGTTCTCAGCCATGGAGGTGCGGCACGGGGCAAAGGGCACGGAGCCCACCTGTGCAGCTCGGCCCCTTCCCGCTCGTCTGCCCCCACGCGTGCCCCCAGCCTGCCCGTTCATTCCCTCCTTCCTCAGCCCCTTCCCGCACGCTCAGAGCGCGCACCCCAAGCCCGGCTGGCGTCGGGGCTCACCGTCGCCAGGCGTGGGCGTCCACATTCTCTTGCGAGTGAGTCACTTTCCAACGGACCTTGAAGTTGAAAGTCCCGCATGGGGAGGCCTGCCTCCAGGTGTTGTGGTTCCCGGGGAGGGAGAAGCCATGCCGGCCCCGCGTGTTTGCACGGATGGTTCCCGGGTGTCTGGAGCATGACTGTGGCTTGCCCTTGTAGGAGGCGCAGCTGCACACAGCCCCAGGCTGGGCCCCCTCCTTGCCGGGGCTCCAGCTCCCTGCCCCGCCTCCTCTGCTCAGTGTGCCCCCGAGGGCCCACTTCCCCCGCCCCGGCATCGTGTTTGTCCTTAGGACCTTCCGGGCAGCACTGGACAAGAAGGCGCACTCCCCGCTCCCCGGCCAGCCTCAGCAGTGACCTCCATTTCTCCTCCCGCAGGTCCTTCGAGCCCATTCTCCGCCTCCTGCCTCAGGGCATCTCTCCTGTCAGCCAGCACTGGGCCACCTGGGCCCTGTACAACCTCGTGTCTGTCTACCGTGAGTGTCCGCTTGTCCTGGGCTCAGACACCCCCAGCTAGAAAGCAGGCCAGCCTACCCGGGGCTCACAGCCCAGGACGGGAGTGCCGGGGGCGGCCGGCCCCTGCCTCGTCTCCGCAAGTGGGCCTGGCAGGCAAGCTGCTGCCTGCAATGCCAGCATCTCACATGGTCACCAGTTCAAGTCCCAGCTGCTCCACTTCCTGTCCCATTCCCTGCTAATGGCCTGGGAAAAGCAGTAGAAGATGGCCCAAGTGCTTGGCCCAGCACTGGCCACCGCAGCCATTTGGGGAGTGAACCAGTAGATGGAACATCTCTCTCCTTCTCTCTCTCTCTGTAACTCTACCTTTCAAGTAAATAAAATAAATCTTTTTAAAAATTTATTTGAGAGACAGAGAGCTCCCATCTGCTGGTTCATCGCCCAAAAACCCACAACAGCTGTGCCTCGGCCGGGAGACAGGTTCTCAGGCCAGGTCTCCACGCGGGCGCCAGAGACGGCTCACTTGAGCCATTAGCGTTGTGTCATCTGCATTAGCAGGAAGCTGGCGTCAAGAGCTGGAGCCAGGAGTCGCGCAGGCATCCCAAGCATTGGACTAGGCACCAGCTCCCCAGACAGCTTGCTGTCTCTATTTTTTTCTTAAATTAGGTTAGTTAGTGGTTTATCTATTTTTTTAAAGATTTATTTATTTATTTGAAAGTCAGTTACACAGGGAGAGAGGGAGAAACAGAGAGAAAGAGAGAGAGAGAGAGAGGTCTTCCATCCACTGGTTCACTCCCCAATTGACCACAGTGGCTGCAGCTGCACCAATCTGAAGCCAGGAGCTTTCTCTGGGTCTTCCACGTGGGTGCAGGGGCCCAAGGATGTGGACCATCTTCTTCTTCTTCTTCTTCTTCTTTTTTTTTTTTTTTTTTTTTGACAGACAGAGTGGACAGTGAGAGAGAGAGACAGAGAGAAAGGTCTTCCTTTACCGTTGGTTCACCCTCCAATGGCTGCCGCGGCCAGCGTGCTGCGACCAGCTCACCGCAGTTGATCCCAAGGCAGGAGCCAGGTGCTTCTCCTGGTCTCCCATGGGGTGCAGGACCCAAGCACTTGGGCCATCCTCCACTGCACTCCCTGGCCACAGCAGAGAGCTGGCCTGGAAGAGGGGCAACCAGGACAGAATCCGGCGCCCCGACCGGGACTAGAACCCGGTGTGCCGGCACCGCTAGGCGGAGGATTAGCCTAGTGAGCCGCAGCGCCGGCCGGGCCATCTTCTACTGCTTTCCCAGGCCATAGCAGAGAGCTGGATCAGAAGTAGAGAAGCTGTGACTCCAACCAGTGCCCATATGGGATGCCGGCACTGCAGGCGGCACTTTACCCACTGCGCCATGTCGCTCCCCCTCTTCGTGGAGGAACAACACAGGACCCTGTGCTGTTCTTTTGTCTGCTCGGCCCTCCCCGGGTTTGCTGCTGGTTCTTCCCGGGTTGGCTACCGTCCCTCCACCTCCATGGAGGGGCGGGCCCCCTGCCACCTTCCCCACTTCCGCAGGGGAGCGGCACACCGCCGGCCGGCTCTCTCGGGGGCTGCACAGGTGTTCCCTCAGATGTTCCTGGTGCATGTTGTCTCTCTCCTCCTTTATAGTCCTCTTCCACCAATCCCAACTCTGCTACCCACACGCCGAGTACGCTGCTCTCCTCCAATCAGGAGCAGGATCAGCTCCTGGAGGTCATCACTCAAGTTGGTGAGAGGCAGCTGCGTAGAAGCTGTTTTCTCCTCTCCCAGCGCCATATTGTGGGAGAACAGATGCATAGAATAAGTCTTAATTCCAGTAACAGTCTAGTCCGAGTTGCTCCCCACAGATCCCCCTTTCTTTTTATTTTTTGGCGTTGATACGCACCTGTCTTCGGTGCCCCGCGGCACACACTCTGCTCTGCTTGCTACAGTTGCCACAGGTGCTTACAAGCCCTACCAGTCAGGCAAACCGAATCCGGGTCCTCTCTTCGCCATGTTGTGAGGAGGTTTTTAGGCGCTGATGCGTGCCTGTGTTCGGTGCCCTGCAGCGCATGCTCTGCTCTGCTAGAACTGCCTGCAGGTACTTACAAGCCCTACCAATCAGGCAAACCGAATCCAAGCCTTCTCATTGCCGTATTGTGGGGAGACTTATTGGTGTTGGTTCGTGCCTATCTTCGGTGACCTGCAGCTCATACTCTGGTCGAGCTGCTTGCTGGTGCTTATCGCCTAATCAGGCAGACCGAATCCAAGCTCTCTCATTGCGGTATTGTGGGGAGACTTATTGATGTTAATTCGTGCCTGTCTTCGGTGACCTGCGGCGCATAAGCTGCTAGCCGCCCGCAGGTGCTCACCACCTCCCTAATCAGGCAGACCGAATCCAAGCTCTCTCATTGCCATGTTGAGGGGAGGCCTTATTTTTCTCTATTTCTCTATCTCCGGGCATTCCTATCTCACCTATTTTACTTCTATCTACCAGCATTCCTATTTCTCTCATTTTACTTCTAAACTTCTGTTTCTCTTATCCCTGTGGCTTCCTGGCGCCCGCCCCGAGGCTGCTTCTCGGCAGCTTCCCAGTGCTGAGCCGCTTCAGCCCGCGCTTCTCTCATCTGCGCGGCTTCCCGGCTTCGCGGGCGCACTCCGCGGTCTCCGCGCCCCTTCGTGCCCACACCACGGCCTCGCACTAGCCCCACGTTCCCTATCTATTCACGCCCCGTGCTCTCTCTGCACGCGGCGGCTTCCGCGAATCACACAGCCTAGCTCACGTTTCCGCCACTAGCATTCAATCCAAGTTCCCCGGGCTTACCTGGCGAATTCAACCTAGCCCACGCTTCCGCCTCACGGTTTGGCTTCCAGTCTTTTGCTCCCCGGGCTAATCTGACAGATTCCAACCTGGCCCACGTTTCCGCCTCTGGTTTAACTTTTCGCCTTTTGCTCCCCGGGCTGACTTAAAGAATTCCAAGCTGGCTTACGTCTCCGCCTCGGCCTGCCCCCGCGGCTACATCCTCCCTAACATTTTTCTCTACCCGGTATGTTTCCTAACTTTTCTTCCAACAATATTCCTCCCTCATTTCTCCTGGCTTCTCCCCACAGTCCGTATCCAAGTCTGTTTGTTCTAGCTTTCACTTTCGCTTTCGACCTTAGAGATTTCTCCCAGCTTCCCCCCCGTAGTCCGTATCCGAGTCTATGCCTAGGCTTTCAATAGCTTCTTCTGGCACCTTTTCCGTCCGGCTTTCCCCTAGGCTCTTTGCTAGTCTCTCTCTCCGGTATTTTCCCACTTCTTCCCGTTTCTTCCCTCCTAGGTTTCCTATCCGCTTCTTCCCTCCTAGGTTCCCTATCCGAGTCATGGCACCATTATGTCGCTCCCCCTCTTCGTGGAGGAACGACACTAAACCCTGCCTAGGCTTCATATCCGAGTCACGGCACCATTATGTCGCTCCCCCTCTTCGTGGAGGAACGACACTAAGCCCTGCCTAGGCTTCATATCCGAGTCACGGCACCATTATGTCGCTCCCCCTCTTCGTGGAGGAACGACACAGGACCCTGCGCTGTTCTTTCATCTGCTCGGCCCTCCCCGGGTTTGCTGCTGGTTCTTCCCAGGTTGGCTACCGTCCCTCCACCTCCATGGAGGGGCGGGCCCCCTGCCACCTTCCCCACTTCCGCAGGGGAGTGGCACACCGTCGGCCGGCTCTCTCGGGGGCTGCACAGGTGTTCCCTCAGATAGATGTTCCTGGTGCATGTTGTCTCTCTCCTCCTTTATAGTCCTCTTCCACCAATCCCAACTCTGCTACCCACACGCCGAGTACGCTGCTCTCCTCCAATCAGGAGCAGGATCAGCTCCTGGAGGTCATCACTCAAGTTGGCAAGAGGCAGCTGCGTAGAAGCTGTTTTCTCCTCTCCCAGCGCCATATTGTGGGAGAACAGATGCATAGAATAAGTCTTAATTCCAGTAACTTAGTCTAGTCCGAGTTGCTCCCCACAGCGCCACAGTGCCAGTCCCATGTTTGTTTGTTTATTTTTTTTACTTTTGACAGGCAGAGTGGACAGTGAGAGAGAGAGACAGAGAGAAAGGTCTTCCATTGCCATTGGTTCACCCTCCAATGCCGCCGCGCCGGCGTGCTGCGGCCAGCGCATCGCGCTGATCCGAAGCCAGGAGCCAGGTGCTTCTCCTGGTCTCCCATGGGGTGCAGGGCCCAAGAACTGGGCCATCCTCCACTGCACTCCCGGGCCATAGCAGAGAGCTGGCCTAGAAGAGGAGCAACCGGGACAGAATCCGGCACCCCAACCAGGACTAGAACCCGGTGTGCCAGCACCGCAAGGCGGAGGATTAGCCTAGTGAGCTGCGGCGCCAGCCCAGTCCCATGTTTTTTATTTTTCTTAAAATTTTTTTTTTTTTTTGAAAGCAGAGTTACAAAGTGAGAGAAGGGGAGAGACAGATCTTCCATCTGCTGGTTACTCCCCAAATGGCCACAACAGCTGGGGCTGGGCCAGGCTGAAGCCAGGAGTGTGGAGCTTCTTCTGGGTCTCCCATGTGGGTGCAGGGATTGGGCCATCTTCCGCTGCTTTCCCAGGCACATTAGCAGGGAGCTGGATCGGAAGTGGAGCAGCCGGAACTCAAACCGATGCCCGTATGGGATGCCAGCATTGCAGGTGGCGGCCACGGTGCCAGCCCCACAGAGAACCTTCTCTGCTCCCCGCCTCCCTAGGAGTGGATAGTCAGACATCGCTGGCCAGTTACCAGAATTACCTGGTGGGGTTTCGTTAGGAATACAAACAAACACACGTCCCCGGAGCTGTTGAGTCAGGAGATCCAGGGACAAAGCTTCCGAAGGGTCATGTTTAGGAGCCACTGGTTTGGGTGAGATTTTCCACAGGACAAGCTGGGGGGGGGGGGGGGGAGCAGCCGCTTTGGACCGCAGTCGGGAAGGGTCCGTTCCCAGGATTCTCCGCCTGCTCCCCCAGGTGGCCACAGGGACTCCTGGCCATGGGGCTGGGCCTTGTGGTTCATCCCCGCTTCCCCCAGGACCCTCAGCCCAGGCCTGGGTCTCCATCCGCTCTCCCAGGGGTAGGGAGTAAAGGGGCAGGGCGCAGGTGGTCCTAGGCCTCGGCTGGTGAGACTCACCCCATCATCTGCTGTGCCCCACCCACAGCGGACAAGTACTGCCCCCTGCTGATCAAAGAAGGAGGGCTGCCCCTGCTGAGGGACGTGATCCAGATGGCGACGGCGCGGCAGGAAACCAAGGAGATGGCCCGGTAAGAGCGGTGTGGCATGTCGGCCGAGATGCCCAGGGACACTCAGGGCGGAGCATGGAGGTGGAGTGTATGTGTGGCCAGCGAGGGCCTCTCTCAGCGCCCTTCCAGCCACGGGGGGCAGGAAACTAGAGGCCCGAGCTCAGGACAGAAGCCCCTTGTAAGCCTCTCTGTGAGTTCTGTTTTTCTTTTATTCCTGACAAATCCCATCGGCTCATCACTGGACGTTAGCAAGTCCGAGCTGTTGGTTATTCTTAGCCAAAGACATTCCAACCAAAAGGAGGGCTCGGTGGGCTCAGATACGTCCTGGACGTCAGATGGGCAGGCACGTGGGATTCTGGGCGCCAGGCTCAGACACGGCGAAGCTGCTGGCTTCACCGCGGTGTCCGAGACCGCGTGGGCTCTGATTCGCCCCCTGAGCTGAGTGCCAGAGGCGCCACGAGGCAGAATGAGCAGGAACAGCCAGGGCCCAGCAGGAGGGAGCCCGGTCAAGGTTTGCCCTGGGCCTGCAGTCCCAGTTGAACGCGGCGCCGAGTGTAGGGGCAGGGGCCCCGCCCTCGCTGGGCTGAGGGCTGCAGGGGTCTGCCATCATTCTCAGCGGGAGGCTCCGCCTACACCGTCATTGGCAGATGAGGGTGAGGCTGGGTAGAGTGAGCGAAGAGCCAGCCGGAGACAGCGTTAGACGTGGACAGGCCACGCCGGTCCTTGCCCAGCGGGTCTACGCGGAGTCCGCAAGGCTCCCCAGGACGTTAGGGAAGGCCCGGGGAGACGGGGCCTGAGGTGAGTGCCTGAGCCAGTGACCCTGGAGCAGGCCCAGAGGCAGCCCCCTCCCCACCCTGGCCAGGGGACCCCAGCAGCACAGGCAGGCTGCAGCGAGCCCCGGCCTCGCGGCTCCGTGTTGGCCAGGGTCGGGTGACACCGACAGCCGCAGTCAGCAGTCGCGGGGGGCCAGGCTGAGAGCGGAGCTGGGGCGCCGGGGCCTGGTGGCCACAGTGCCTCAGGGCCTTGTGCCAGCCCAGCTGTCCCCGCCTTTCCCCAGCAAATACGTGAGCAGCCAGTGTGGGAATGCCCGTGGGCTCGTGGGAAGGGAAGGGGAGAGGGCAGAGGGGGACAGAGGAAGGGAGAGGGCAGAGGGGGACAGAGGGCTTGGGGGCCAGGCCTGAGCGGCCTCCAGAGACCCGGGTCCACAGCCACCCTGGGACCCAGGGGTTGGGTGAAGGAGCCAGGGAGGCTGGCGGCCACGGTGGCCTTGGTGCCATTTCCTGCCTGCGCCACCAGCCATTGTGTCCCCAGCATCAGAGCCCCCCAGTGAGCCCCCCAGGGGGCGGGCGGGCTGCTGGCCCCAGCCTTGTCCTACCCCGCCCCCTGTCTCCAGCAAGGTGACTGAGCACTGCAGTACCTTCAAAGAGGAGAACATGGACGCGTCCAGATAGAGGCTCCGCCACGCCCGCCAGCGCTCCGCACCCGGGGCCGGGGCGCCGCTCACGCAGCCCCGCCGCAGGCCCTCCGGGAGCCTCCCGCAGGACACACAGACGCGGGGGACTTTTGCACAACCGACGCTTTTCCTTAACATTAGTGAGATATATATATTATATATATATATTATTTTTTTTGGTTAGGAAGTGTGAAGTTTTGTGTGTATGATTTCTGTACGGAAACAAAAGAGACCCTCCCCGAGTCCTCGCAGCTTTATGGCCATTCTCAAACCCCACCGAGAGCCTGCATCGCTGCCACCCTACCCTGCCCCTGCCCCGCCCGAGGCCCCAAGGCCGATGACCAGCGAGAGCCCGGACCTGTCCTGTCCGCCCCTCCCCGGCTGGCACCCAGACCCCTGAAGGCCCGTCTGGGCCCCTGGGTGCGGCTGACGGGGCTTAGAGTTGAAAACTGGTCCTCCCGGGTCTCTCCGACGCCTTGGTGCTCCCAGCTGCAGGCCATCGGGGCAGGAGAGGGCGCGTTCCCAGGCCTAGGGCCAGGTGTCCCCGCCCCAGAGGCCCCTGGAGGAGCGGGGCTCCCTGCGGCTCTGCAGCTCCTGGGCCAGGCCTGCCTGCGGCCACGCTGCTACGGAGGCTGCCTCTGAGTCTCCCACCAGGCCCCAGGCTACCGCAGGCCCCAGCCCAGGGACATCAGAAATTCAGGGGTGAGCTACTGCCCCTCTGCCAACACGTCCCGCCTGCACCTTCCGGAGCCGGGGGCTTGCTCCGGCCCTCCCTCACCCTCCTCTGCCCACAAGCACCCAAGGTGCCCAGGCACCCCCACCAGCAGAACTGAGCCTGCTTCCTGCACCCCGCGCACCCTGCTGCCCAGAGGCCACGCGCCTCCCCAGGCAGGAGGTTCCCACCGCAGTCCCTCAGGGCAGCAGCGGGCGGCCGCCTCCAGACCAGCAGCTGGGCCGCCGTGGTGGCCACTGGGCCTGCCCCGGGCTCTGCTCCGAAAAGCAGCACCTGTGCGCCCCTCCTTCCCGCACGCTTCTCATCAGACACAGGTGGGGAGGCCAAGGAAGGAGCCGGCCCCGCAGGCGGCCCCTGGGCCTGCTCTGGACTCTGCCAGCAGTCCTGCCCCGCAGCCGGCAGCTCAGGGACGGTGCCCAGCCCTCCCTCCTGGAGTCTCCCCTGGCCGAGGGGGGCGGCGGCCCCGTGCTCCCGCCGCGTGGTGGACGGCCGCCTCGGCCCAGCCAGAGCCCCGGCAGGGCTCCCCTCGCGTCGCTTTACCACCTGGGGCCGGGGCAAACGTCTGTACTTGGGGATGTCACAGAAATACATTTTTGTGCGAAGTGCACAATTGCAGTGGAGGATGGCCCAAGTCCTTGGGCCCTGCACCCCATGGGAGAACAGGATAAGTACCTGGCTCCTGCCACTGGATCAGCGCAGTGCGCCGGCAGCAGTGCGCCAGCCGCGGAGCCCATTGAGGGTGAACCAATGGCAAAAGAATCCTTTCCTTCTGTCTCT